CCCCCCCCCCCAGAAAGCCTCTTAAAATATAAAGCCCCAGCTGGAAATTCCCTTTCCCTTATTTTACCCATTGTTTTCTCATACAGGTTATAAGTACATGTCCTTGGCCCTGAACAGAACTGGCAGAAGCATTGTATACTCCTGTGAGTGGCCTCTTTATATGTGGCCCTTTCATAAGGTGAGCTAGTGAGCCCAGAATCCAATTTTCAGAACTTGAGAATGAAGGAGACAAGTTTCCCTCAAAGCCCATCCACTTTCACCATCCCCACTACTGTAATTATAGTCTAATGTACCACCACCTACGAAGTTGTCTTTGATTCTTCCCTTTATGTCACCATTCATGTCCTGTTCATCAACACTCTGCCAGTTCTTTCTCCAAAATACGTCTTCAGTCAGCCCACCTCTTTCCCTCCTCTGCTTCCACTCTGGCCTTCCAAGGCACTCTCATTTTTCACTCAGACTTCTCTGACAGCCTGATCCACTTCCAGCCCTCTTCCCACCTCCATCAATTTTCCAACATTATCTTGTTAAAATGGCATCTTTATCAGTTCCCTACTTAAAATCCTTACCTGGCTTCCCACTGCACTTGGAATAAAATCAATTTCCATTGATCTGGCCCTTAGCTGCCTCTCCAACCTCCAAGGAATGATAGCTCTTTATTTTTTACTGTTTTTCTTTCTGCCCCTCAAACACTACTAATATTTTTACACTTGCTTGTTGTTTTATTCTAGAAGACATCTTCCCCCAAGATTTTTAAAGCATAGACTCCTTAACATTCAAGTCTCAGACCAGATGCCACATACTGAAGACAAGTCTTCTCTAATTACTTTAAAATAGCCCTCTTTCCATTATCACATTAACCTGTTTATTTGTAAAAGCTTAGCACTATTAACTTATTGTATGTCTCCCACTAGAATGTAAATTCCATGAGGGCAGGGAACTTGTCCTACTTTATCACTGTTATTGATAGCATATGGTAAGTATTGAATAGTTATGGAATAAATTCCTATTATTTTCTTGAAAGCCCCCCAAAATAGTCTCACCTTTTCTTCATCTTGCACCTCAGATCTTCCACCTGTCTACAGACTTTAATTAATTCCATTAACAAATTATATGCTTAGGACTCAAATTTTATGTTTGATGCAGCACTATGTAGTTTGCAGTTTATTTTTACTTGGTAAGAGCATATTAGTTAATTCTGATTATAAAAATAATGTTAATTTTACAAAAGTTTGGAAGTAAATACTCTTCCATAATGCCAATACCTAGATAGCATTTGGTAAATTTCCAGCATAAACAGTATTCAAGTAATTTTAATCCCTTATTAAAGAAGTATTGCCTACTTCTGAAGCATACTTCTTATAATCTTGAGACTTCTTCATGGAGACCTTCAATCTATAAACTAAAGGTTACAAGTGCCTCATTTAAATTGGGCTGTTTCCATCGCACAAGGAAACTGAACAGAACCATTTTACCTGTTTTCACAGCCTAATTACACAAAAATCCGACAGTACTGCAATCACTGGAGAAATTTTGCTGATGTTTATGATTCTTGGGAAAGTGTGAAGAGTATCTTGGACTGGACATCTTCTAACCAAGAGAAAATTGTTAATTTTGCTGGACCAGGGGGTTGGAATGACCCAGATATGGTAAGGACTTGAGTCTTCCTTGTTCAAGACCAATAGTAGGCCTGTTTCCTGTTTGACATCCAAGGAAAATGGAGGTAAAGTTCCTGGGAGGAGGCTAGCTATATTTAGAGTAGGATGCTGTAGAAAGTAGCTTTACTCTGTGGTTAATCAAGGTAATTCTATAAATGTTTGGCCTTCTCTCATTTTTGTCCCAGTTAGTGATTGGCAACTTTGGCCTCAGCTGGGATCAGCAAGTAACTCAGATGGCCCTCTGGGCTATCATGGCAGCTCCTTTACTCATGTCTAATGACCTCCGACACATAAGCCCTCAAGCCAAAACTCTACTTCAGGATAAAGATGTGATTGCCATCAACCAAGACCCCTTGGGCAAGCAGGGGTACCGCCTTAGAAAGGTAATGTTCTGTGGGAGAAAATAGTTCAGGAACTTATTCTCCTTCTTTCTGTGGTTATAGACCAGCTGAAATTTAAGGTATGTGTTTTAAGGTGGTCTTTTTTATTCCCAAGGATCATTCGTTGTGGGCCAAAATCTGTTACATGAGGACATGACTGATCTTTCTTGAGAACACTAGTTTTTCCTTAATCTTTATGCCATAATCCATAATAAGGCTTTTTGCTAGAATCATTACTTTCCAAAGTAATCCTGTTTAAAAAAATACTAAAGGATTTTTTTTCCTACATGCGCTCCCCCCACTCAGTACTGGGGTTGGAATCCAGAGGGGTACTCCACCACTAAGTTACATCCTAAGACCTTTGAGACTGGTTCTTGCTAAATTGCCTTAACTGGCCTAGAAATTGTGATCCACCTGCCTCAGCCTCCCAAGTAGCTGGGATTACCAGGCATGCAACACTGCAATCAGCATGTGCTTGAGAGTATGACTGAATGCCAAAGTAAAAAAGTAGCTCATTGCTAGTTATCAAGCAATCACTCCTATCTTCTTTTCTTTTTAGGAAAACAACATTGAGGTATGGGAACGACCGCTCTCAAACTTAGCCTGGGCTGTAGCTATGACAAACCTACAGGAAATTGGTGGACCTCGTTCTTACATCATCTCAATTGCTTCCCTGGGTAAAGGAGTGGCCTGTAATCCTGGTTGCTTTATCACACAGCTCCTCCCTGTGAAAATGGAGCTTGGGTTCCATGAATGGACTTCAAGCTTAAAAACTCGTATAAATCCCACAGGCACAGTTTTGTTTCGGCTAGAAGCAAAAAGAAGACTGCATCAAAAAGCTTAAATGTACTTTAAGTTGTATACTTTCTCCAAAGTGACAAGCCCACTTTTCTATTTTTTTTCCTCCATTTCCACTTTAAAAAGCTCTGTTTCCTTGAATAAAATTTCTCAAAGTTGGAAGTTTAAAAGAGCTACTTCAAAAGTTATTCTAAAAAGAGAATTGTTTGGAGAAGGGCTTAAAACTAATGCACTAAGAAATAACAGCCATAATTCATTGGATACTTCTGTGCCAGATTCTAATAAATGCTTTCAAGGTGCTGATTTATTTTAACCCTCCGTCCTGAAGTAGGCAGTTATTCATTGTACTACAGAACCTGGACTTAAACCCCAGCTGTTAATCACTACTGCCAAACAAGGTACTTGGATGGTTCTACTTATAATTTCAGTGCAAATGGAAAATAAAATCTGCCGTCTCAGTAAGACAAGATGATTGCCAGGTGAACTGTGATAAATTCCCAGTGTTATCTGTAATCTACATCTAACAAATAAAGGTGGCTTACTTTCACCAAGAATAACTAGATTTATGGTGCCCTTAAACTGAACTGTTAATCTCAAGGCCCCATGAGGAGGCAGTGATCTTCAAACCTGGTATATCCAGACATGGATAATTGCAAGGTTAACATCTGGTCACTCTTAATTCACAACTGGTTTGCCTGAGATACCTGTAGCCAAGGCTGCTCCTTTTCCACCTCCCTTTTATTACAACTGTTCTCCAACATGAGCAAAAACAGAAGTATGAACCTCACCTGTCAGGAGCACTCTGGAAATACGTGCCTGTAAGTCCTGAACAAGAGATCTTGAACAATTATTAAACCCCTCAATAACTTGGGCTTAACCCACAGGAGCCTACATCTTTTTTAATATTTCCCACTGCTCATTCTACAGGAAAGAGATAGTGATCATTGGGAGTTATTGAATGGCTCCACTTAGCTCATTCCTCTCAAAAGTCATTGACTCCATTTCATGTTTATGTTGCTCAGTTGGTTATTAAAGGCAGAACGCAAGTTTTACAGCTGGTTGGATCAGAACCTGATATTATTATCCCTTATTCAACAGAATGTTTGGCTTTTCCAAACTTCTAATACTTGGCAAGTAGCTTTTGCTAATTTTCCTGGTCAGATAGAAAGTCATTATCCTCATGATAAAATTATTCAATTTGCTTTAGTAACTAAATTTATTTTTACACAAATTGTGCATGCTCAACCAATAGTTGGGGCATTATCAGTGTTCACTGATGGGTCAAGTTCAGGTAAAGCAGGTTTATATAGCCATGCTCATATAGAGGTAATGCAAACACCATATACTTCTGCACAATGAGCAGAACTTCAGGCTCTCATTTATTCTTTAAATCATTTTGCAATTGTCAATATTTATTCTGATAGTTTATATGCAGTTGGAGTTACAAAAATATTGAAACTTCACCTATTGGGTACACACCATCACAAGAGTTATTCAATTTCTTTCATACCTTGCAGAAGATAGTTCAAATGTGTCAACATCCCATCTTTTATAGGCCATATACGGCCCACACTACACACTAATCTCCCAGGGCCTTTAACATCAGATAATAAGATTGATAAACTGGTTGCTGTTTGTCAGCAACTGTCTTTGTATGACTGTGCACACACTTTTTTGCATCATCAAAATGCATCTAGTTTGTGTGAAGTTTAATATTACTAGAGAGCAATGTGTCAAATTGTACATCAATGCTCACAATGTGTTGTACATTCTATCTTTACCATCTGAGGTAAATCCCCACAGGTTACAACCAAATCAGTTATGGCAAATGTCTATAATTCAGTTCCTCAATTCAGCCAACAATGTTATGTACATGTAGATACTTATTCCGGATTTATCCTTTGTGAGCTCCTGGACTCGTAATACTTGGAGTGGCTAGTTTCATTTATTGCTTCCATGGTCACAGCTTCAGTGGCCATCTCAAAATATTAAGCATGCAGATTTTCTTAATAATTTGGCTCAGAACACTTCCAAAGCTCTTTATAATCAGATAAATATTGAGGAAAGGATTGAAACTAAGCGAGATGCCTTAGAAGCTACTGTCATAATATTGGTAATGAGCTTTCTAAAAGTTCAAGGAAAGACTCAAATGTCATGCTGATTATAATAATGCTTATTACTGCTGCCAAATACCTTGTTTCCTAATGGGATTGGGAGAAGGTTAAAAACCATTTATTAGTATTTGGCAGAATAATAACAGCTTGGATCTTTTGGAGTTACATCATCATATTCAAGATATACAAAAAAGTGATTTGATATTTCGGATCCTACTTCAAGAGTTAAATGGTTTTAATCCTGGAAACATAATATTCTCTTTGCTATTAATCCTCTCTTGTATTGTAATCATGTCATGCCTTCAGAACAAGAATTCAGAAATTTGCAATAGCAACTCATCACCTACTTTTTCAAAGAAAGAAGGTGGAATATGTTGGGAGCCACTCTGGAAACACACACCCTTAAGTCCTGAGCAAGATATACTAAACAATTACTGCACACCACAATAACTTAGGCTTTACCGCTGCTTGGATAATGAGGCATGGCTGCAGGAGCAGGCGTTACATGGTGGGGTTGAGTTACACTCACCTGTTCCTTTGTAATCCTACCCCTTGCCCCTTTTTTGGATAGAAATTCTAAGAAACAGCATTCCCCAATAAAAGCCAACTGTAGAATGTGTGCTCCCTCTCTCATCAGCCTCTTGTGACTTTCTCTTGCCCCCATTGTTGGAGCCTGAGGCTGGGAGCTGGGGAAGCCGTCCTGAAGCTCATATAAAAAGGTATTCTGTGTCTGCATGGTATTTTGGGTCATCCCAAATTCACCGAAGTGACTTTGGTTCAGTTGCCCGCACTTAGTGGGGGCAGCACTCACCCATTGTGAACATTCATGCAATAGTACCAAAAGGACCACCCAAAACAAAAATGCATGCTGGAATAATTATGCCTGTCATGTGATTTCACCAATTATTTTCATAAAAATTGAGAACATTCAGTTGATAAAAGCTGGAATAACATTGTTAAACACAGGGTTGAGGTTGTGGCTTGGTGGTAGGGCACTTGCCTAGCACTGGGTTGGATCCTCAGCACCACATTAAAAAATAATGTAAAGTACTGAGTCTGTCTTCAACTAAAAAAAAAATATTTTAAAAAGTTGTTAAACACACTCATCAATGAATAGATATACTATCTATAAAATGATCTTCCCACTGATAAAACTGCCATATTTGTTTCACTGTAAAGTTCTGCTGCTGAAATACAAAGAACTAATTTTAATCAATAAGACTGAAACATAGGAGTAAAAGAATGTGTAACTTCAAACTATGTTGAAGTACTTGTTAAAATGGAGAGAATATACTTGGTTAAGGTTTCTTTTTTTTGTTTCAACCAGAGATTGAACCCAAGAATGTGGCTCTGAGCCACATCCCCAGCCCTTTCCATGTTTTAGGCAGAATCTTGCTAAGTTGCTTGGGGGCCTCACTAAATTGCTGAGGCTATGAATTTGCAATCCTTCTGCCTCAGCCTCCAGAGAGGCTGGGATTATAGGCATGCACCACCATGACCTACTACTTAAGGTTTCTTAAGGCTATTAATACACTGGAAAGTTTGTAATATTTTACACTTATCCCAACATGATAAAAATGTCTACTTTAAAATGTTAAAAGGGTAGCCTCACCAAGTGAGGTGGCACGCACTTGTAATCAACTACTCCGGAGGCAAAGCAGAATGATCCCAAGTTCAAGGCCAACCTGAGCAACTCAGAAACACCCCATTTCAAAATAAAGGGCTGGGGCTGAGTGACAGAGCACTTGCTTAGCACGTTAAGAAGCCCTTTGTGCAATCCACAATACAGTCCTCCCAAAAGTTTAAAAATAAGATGGCATGTCAAAATGATTAATTGGGGAGTCTGGAGACCTAATATACATTATACAACACATACTCTGCCTAGGGTTTTTTTTTTTCAGTGCTGGGGATTAACCAAGAGCCTTACATGTGCTGGGCAAACAGCACTGTACAACTGAGCTATATATCCAACCCCCCAAAATCCTTATGAAATGTGTAAGTACCAGAAGTATGAGATTATTTTTATCTCGGTAAACTTTTTCTACTTCGATTAAATGAGAACCAATAACTTTTGCTTAACAACAACTGGGATCCCATGAACACACAAAGTGCCAAATTAAATAATCACACATTTGATATGAGCTCAACCAATCAGTCAAAATGTAGTACTCTAAACCATAATCACAAATTTCCCAGAACACCAAATGCAACCAAATTAAGTGAAGATAACCTCAACATTTTATTATCTTCATAACAAAACAAACGATGAAGCTTAGAACTGGATCACTTGGCCCTGTAATGAAACAGAAAAAAAAAAATGTTGAGTTTTGTATTTTGGAAAGAACCACCACTCCATCAATAATATCTTTTCTAAGAGATAATCATGCTATGTATGTTGAAGCAAGTTTCCTCATTCTTCCTTTCCTACTTACAGCAAAACCAACACCAAAAATCTTACACTGAAATCTGAAACTTTCTAAGTATGATACTTAACAAGTGTTAGATTTCAAATACTGGGTTTAAGGATGCTCAACCAGTTAAATCTATGTAAATATTCCCAAATCTAAAAAAAATTCTGGTCCTAAGCATTTCAGACAAGGGATACATAACCTGTACTGTCAGCTATGGATAAACATAATAGAGCTATAAATAAGATTATACCTTTCTCTTCTTATCTCCTCCCAGTTCAAAATGCTTGCATCTCTTAATAGCCAGCATTCTTTTAGATCTGCAGTTAGGCTCAACACACTCAAGCCTCAGCACAATCTTCTTTGTAGTTTTAGCCTGGAAAAAAAGCCAGATCATTCATAAATCATTGCAGAACATCACTTTCTGGCTAGGTATGGTGGCACACACCTATAATCATCACAACTTGGGAGGCTGAGACTATAGGATTTCGAGTTCCAGAATAGCCTCAGCAACTTAGCAAGACCCTGTCTCAAATTTTTTTAAAAAAGGAGGGATAGAAATTTGTTAAGGATGCCCAGTGGTGAAGCATCCCTTGGTTCAATCCCTTGAACCAAGGAATAAAAAAAAGAAAATTAGGGCTGGGGTTGTAGCTCAGTGGTAGAGAGCTTCCTAGTACCTGTGTGGCACTGGGTTTGATCCTTGGCACCACATAAAAATAAAACAAAATAAAGATACTGTGTCCCTCTACAACTAAAAAAAAATATTTAAAGAGTCCATGTTTATCTTAAAAAATAAAAAAAGAAAATTACTTTTTAAAAAAAATGAATATGTTGGGTTCAACACTACTTAAAGCTTTGCAAATGATAGTTGCCATTTGTCTTTGGCTATAAGGAGAAAGTAATATAGTAATAGCAAAAATGGCAGGTTATCCAACTGTCATCAAGTT